GGATTTTTTTTCCAAAAATCTCGGCGTGCCATGCCACACTTGTCACACCCCTTGGACACGCCACTGAATACTATTACTATACATGTGTACCAGATCATGGGCCCCCTCCCGGCCCGGGCCCTAGGCCGTCGCCCCACTGGCCATACGTCAGGGCTGACCCTGGGCACACCGAAGATGATGAGGTTGGCGCATGACCCTGGACGACTACAGGTTTGACCTCAGATCCAAACTTGGCGTACAACGGCGTGGCAAATTTATCTCGGATGTTCTTTAGAGTGTTTTCGTGTTTGGTTAGGGACAATGTAGTGGTGGTGCTTCTTAGGGTTAGGAATAATGTCCTTCCCGCCCTATCCATATTCCATTGATGTATTGTCGACGACAGAGGCCGTGGGGTTTTGTTTTTCTGGCGGGTCTTTGCAGATCCAGTCTATTTAGGTGATTCCGTCTAAATTCGGATGACTTTCATGGTCTTTGGAGTTTCTAGAAGTCCTTATTGTTGTTCTCTTCTCTAGGGTGCAGAGGTGGAAACAAAAGAGGGGCGAGCAGGGGGGGGGGCGCTCTTGAGAGCTCCTTGTCGGCGCTTATGGTGGCAAATCGCATTGCAGCTCCATGGGTGTGCCTAGTTTAGCGCTTATTCTTTATCTTGCATCGATCCTCACATTGACACTTGTTGTACGCGCAAGCAAAGCTCTTCCAGCGTTCACATACTTTCGTCAGACGAGGGAGCCAATGGCCTCTTTATTTCCACTCCTTTAGAAAACCAGCAACAAGTTGTTCAAGAAACAACCATCAATTTTAAATATATTTACGAAGTTTTATAATTAATAAAATATTCATTTTTGAAAAGTTCATGAATAGAAAATATAATCAAGATTTTTGTAAAAAAATCTCAAACTAAAAAAATCATGATTCAAAACAGTTCGTGAATTTGGACAATGTTCATGGATTTGGAAAAAATGTTTCGGGTTTCAATATATTTTTTGGGATTTAAAAAGGTTCGGTGAAATGAAAACAAACATTTATGAGTTCTAAAGCTGTTCGTGAATTTTAAAAAGCTCATGCTTTTGAAATAAAGCTTTTGTTAACTTCAAATAGGCTATTGAATGCAACGGCAAATAAAGAAGAAGAAAGTGCCAGAGCTAAGAGCTAATAGATTCCCAGTCTATACATGGATAAAGGAATGATAAGAGCTATGAGCAGTTTATTAAACTACACTACGGCTAATATATATAAGAACAAATCAACTAGAAAAAACCGTTGCCAAAGAAACCATTTGTTTAAGCTTATTCGTTCGCGCTAGGCTAAAAAACTAGATCCTCCTAACTGCGCGCGGGCCGGGCTTAGAGCGCGTGAAACTCATCACTACCTCGTAAGGGCGTTGAGACCATAGCATGTTACACAAAAGCGCCGCTTTCTCAGGAGTGTTGTCACACAGCTGCCCGACTAGAAGAGCTACTCGCTCTGTAGTGTTGTCACACAAGATAAGCACGCCGCCCGCCTGCTGGCCGGGCGAATTGAGGTTATCTTCCGGTCAACTGTCCACCCAGTCAAGTGCAAAAAACACAGTGGAATCACGCAACGCGCGCTGCTGGTGTGCTTCTTGCCCACGAGGAAAGAAGAGCGACCTAGTAGAGTACTTGTATCTATGTCAATTAAAGGGACTAAAAAAGGAAAAAGTATTCTCAAATTGGACTTAGTAAATATCAGGATAATGATATGGATTGTGAATGCATAGAGAAGTGAAGTACAGTATGAATAAGGAATGGTGGCACACTGGCGAATGCAAACTCTCAGCTGATAGGGAAGAGGGGGGCGGCTAGCTAGGGCTTACCTCTGACTCCCTTTTACTCCAGCATCTTAAATAATACTATAAAATATGTGCTTGCAATAAACAGAAGCTAAAGGAAGAAAAGCAATAAAACTAATTCACTTGCTTCTTGGGATCGATAAATGGCTCTTTTTCATTTGGGACTGCCCTCTTTCAAGAGTTCATCCACAAAAGGAATGCGATATTTTTATTAATGGTAAGGCTATTTAGTTTCCTGTAGTCTATACACAATCGCCAACTCCTACCCATCCTACCTACAGGTTGACCATCCCTTTTCAACACATATCTTTTAGTATACGTCTTTTTTAGTTGCTTAAAGATTTCAGATATTGCTTTTTTCTGTTATAGGAAGTGTTGCGTTCCCCTTTAGGGTGTTTGTCAGTGGCGTCACCCGATAGGGTGTGTGCCCGGATAAAAACCATCATTGCTTTATTTTTTACTTTTCATCTAGTAATGTGCATGAATGGATATGGTGGGTAAGATTTGAAAACGTTTGACATCAACCGGGCTCTACTTTGCTTTTACTTTACTCACTTGCCAGGTCATTGTTGTCGATATTGAGGTGAGAACTCTATCTTTATTCTCGTTTTATTTCTCACTAAATGATCTAACAATCGAATACGGCTTTCCACAGAATTCTATAGGGATCTATGAGATCGAGTATGGAATTCTGTTTACTCACTTTAAATTGAGTATCCGTTTCCCTCCTTTTCCCGCTAGGATCGGAAATCATGTATTTTCCATATCCATATGATCGAGTCCTTAGGTTTCCGAAATAGTGTAATGGAAAAAGAAGTGCTCCTGGCTCAACTAACATTAAGAACTTTTCATACTGGCGGAGTATTCATAGGGGGTACTGCCGACCTTGTACGATCCCCTTCGAATGGAAAAATAAAATTCCTACTTCTGCGGCGATCGGATTGCACTTTTACCCAATTTGGGAAGCTGCATCTGTTGATGAGTGGTTATACAATGGTGGTCCTTATGAGCTAATTGTTCTACACTTCTTACTTGGTGTAGCTTGTTATATGGGTCGTGAGTGGGAACTTAGTTTCCGTCTGGGTATGCGTCCTTGGACTGCTGTTGCATATTCAGCTCCTGTTGCAGCTGCTACTGCTGTTTTCTTGATTTACCCTAAAAATATCCCCTGACTTTAAAATAAGTTCGCGAATTTGGAAAAAAATGATGGGTTCAAGTGTTTTTTCTTTTTTCAAAAAGCTCATGGATTATTAAATAAATCATGCATCCATCTTTTCTGTATTTGAAAAAATCATCTATTTAAAAAAATCATTCCTATAAAAAATGTTCGTTAAAATAAAAAAATACAAAATAAAAACAAGAAAAGTAAATATATATATATATATATAAGAAAAATGAAAGATAAGAAATAAATAAAAGGAAATACAAAAAATGTATAAAACTGAATAAAAACCAACTGAAACAAATAGAAGAAAAAACATAGAAAAACCCGACGGAAAAAAATTGAGGGAACCTCCCAGAAGGTTCCCAAAGCCAGAATAACCACCGTCTTCAGTCTTTATGGACCGGCCCATCTGTATGTTGAGCGTGCACTTAAGCGCTCAAAAAAAAAAAACTTAAGCGCCAAATAGTGATCGGCCCTCCTCCCCTGCCCAATGCTCCCCCGTGCGGCAGTGTGTCGCTTGTTGCGAAATGAACAGCTGCCTCGCCTACAGGGCACCGGTAGTGCGCCGGCCTAGTATGGCATGGGGCGTCACGCTGATGTCATGCAGACGATATTTTATTTTCCCTATTTTCTACGTTTATGTATATTTTGAATGCGTATATTTCCAAAACTTAAATTTACTTAATAAATTTAAATTATGAATTTGAAATAAAATTGACATAGTATAAAAAATTAGCAATTTTTTGAAAGATGTTGATAATTTCAAAAGGAATGTTCTTGACTATGGAAAAATGTTCTTGCATTTCATCAAAGTGTATGATTTTTTTAATAAAATATGTACACTATTTAAAAATATTTTTGCAATCTATAAAAAATGTTTTGTACCATTAGGAAATATACTTGACATTTAACAGAAATATTCCCGTATTGTAAAACAAATGTTCGTGCCATTTTTTATGCAGTGTAAAAAAATGTTGGCTTACGACAAAGAAATGTTTATTTCTAATGAATAAAATGTACATGACATTTTGAAGAAATATTCTCGTGTTTCCAAAATTTCTGTGAAATTTTAAAAATATCTATACAATGTAAAATCAATGTCTGCATAGTTTACAAAATAATTATGGCTTGCAGATAAGGGAGTTGACAGTGCTTAATGTGTTTTTTAACACAATATAGATGCAAGCGCTCATATATACGCGCATACACTCATCCCTGTGAACACGCGCACACACCCTACCCATATGATCACCTCCGAGAGACTGAGCCAGCATATTATCTTGAGATTTTACGAAGTCATCGTAGGTGACAGAAATGTCTCTTCTCACTAAACGCGCATCGTCAAAAATTCTGAAATAAATTTAGAATAAATGCGATCACCAAGACTTTGAACCCTGGTGGGCACACTGTTTCCCTCAGTGCTTAATGTGCTAATCGTTGGGTACGTAATCATTTGCATTGGGCCGTCAGTCAAAAAGAAACGAAACGAGATCCTTGGACGTGGCCGTCCTTTTCGCTAGGCCCGGGAGCGTTTTCACGCAGCCATAAAAGAGGGCCGGTCATGTGATGAGCGAGTCCTCGGCGGTGTTGATGAGTGTTCGCTGCCACGGTTGGGGTTGGTGTAGACCAGCGCACCGCCATCAATGTGGACATAAATGCACGTACTGGCCGTGTGCACTCTTGTGAACACGCAGCCAATGGAGATGCGCTCTTCTTCTCATCTCTCACCATTTTTTCACCCGTGTCGTGTGAAATGCGTCAAGCATACTACACCTTCTGGAAGAGAGAATATCATCGCACTGTAAGTCTGTAACATTGCACCAACCAACTAACCAAAGCAGAGGTTGGCCCGGTCAATCCAAACGGCATGGAAAGGGATAGGGGTGCCGATAAATAGGCGCCCGGGTCATCATCTCATCCCAGCCCTTGCTTGCCCTGTGCACATCTGTCACTACTCATCACTTTCCTTACTTCTCTCGGGTCTACTCCTGTGTTTCCGCCGCACATCTGGGCGCTCGAGGAGGGGGAATGGCAGGAGGAGGCGATAACTCCCAGACGAATGGAGGATCTCAGGAGCCGCGCGCCATGGAGGAAGGGAGGAAGGACGACTATGACCAGGGCTGCGGCCTCGCCATCTCTCTCCCCTTCGTCCAGAAGGTGAGCCCTGCGCCCTTAAGATCGCTTCTAGGGTTCATGAATCCGCATCTCTCCCTTTAATGGCATGCAGATCTCTCTTCGATCTTTAGACGGTTATCTTTGCATGCCCGCACAAACTTCTGGTAATTGGGGGATAATGCCCTGGCTGGGAGTAAGGCCCGGGGGTGCAAAAATGGCAAATTCGTAGAGGAATTTGTTGTCACACCAAGCCATTAGCCACCCACCAAATGGCATGTCGCATGCCGCCATGAACAGTGACTGCTAGGAGATCCATGATGTAGAATAGATAGGGAGGAAAATGTTGTTGCGTGAAAGTTAATTGCGTGTGGATTATTGATTCATTGTACGTACGTCCAGATCATCGCCGAGATTTTCGGGACCTACTTCCTGATCTTCGCGGGGTGCGGCGCGGTGACCATCAACAAGAGCAAGGGGCAGATCACGTTCCCCGGCGTGGCCATCGTGTGGGGCCTCACCGTGATGGTGATGGTGTACTCCGTCGGCCACATCTCCGGCGCGCACTTCAACCCGGCCGTCACCTTCGCGTTCGCCACCGTGCGCCGCTTCCCGTGGAGGCAGGTGCCGGCGTACGTGCTGGCGCAGATGCTCGGGGCCACGCTGGCCAGCGGCACGCTGAGGCTCATGTTCGGCGGGCGCCACGAGCACTTCCCCGGCACGCTCCCCACCGGGTCCGACGTGCAGTCGCTCGTCCTCGAGTTCATCATCACCTTTTACCTCATGTTCGTCATCTCCGGCGTCTCCACCGACAACAGAGCCGTAAGCAGATCTATCTCGGTCGCCGAATTAACAACAAAACTCGCGTATAATTCGCTAACGAGTTGAGAAAACCGTTGCTTGCAGATCGGGGAGCTGGCAGGGCTGGCCGTGGGTGCAACCATCCTGCTTAATGTGCTGATAGCTGGGTACGTACATAATTATACTTACCTTCGTTGTTGTTTTTTAACACAGATGCAGACCCTCATACATACACACACATTTGCACGTCCATCATTACGAGCACATACTATATTACAGCCGCATAAGTCCATGTAGAATTTTCATAGTCAGCAGAACAAGAATATTTGCATTGGGACGTTGGACTTACGCTATCGTGTTTCAGTAAAAAAAGATACCAGTAACTGAAAATCCTAGTGTCGTGTTTCAGTCAAAAAGATAGTGGCAACTGAAAACACTAGTGTATCGTGTTTCATCAGTCAAAAAGAAAGGAAATTGGGTAGTAGATGCGGCTGTCCTTTGAGAGCGTTTTGATGGAGCCATAAAAGAGGGTCATGTGAGCGAGTCGTGGGCGGTGTTGATGGCTGTCCGCTGGCCCTGCCACGGTTGGTGTGGGCTAGACCAGCGCATTGGAGCCATGAATGTGAACATAAATACACGTACTGACCCTGCATGCATGCATGTTTGAAGCTTAGGTACTCTAGAAGAAAATGTTTGTGAGCTTCTTGTTGAATTGTTTTGGCAGGCCGGTGTCGGGGGCGTCGATGAACCCGGCGAGGACGGTGGGGCCGGCGCTGATCGGGAGTGAGTACAGGTCGATCTGGGTGTACGTGGTGGGGCCGGTGGCCGGAGCCGTGGCCGGGGCGTGGGCGTACAACCTCATCCGCTTCACCAACAAGCCCCTGCGCGAGCTCACCAAGAGCACCTCCTTCCTCAGGAGCATGAGTAGGATGAACTCCGTCTCCGTCTGATTTTCCTTATCACTAGCAACGTTGTATTACTACTACTCCCTCCGTTCCAGAATAGATGACTCAACTTTGTACTAACTTTAGTACAAACTTGGGTCATCCATTTTGGAACGGAGGGAGTACAAGGCTATGTAATCGTCGTCATCGTGGCCATGTATCCGTGGCGTATCGAGTGGGCTACTCTACTCCTCTAGTGGTCTTGGCCTAACTGAACCTGCGAGAGTATGTATATGTGGAAAAAGTTGTGTTTTGGAACCATGTGATGTGGTGGAATTCGCCTGTGGCGCGAGTGTTTGTCAAGGGGGTGGGTGGCGATGGAGACATCCGTGCATGGGATTAATGGTAGTAGCTTAATTAATTCCGTGCGGTTGTTGTTTTAGCGGGTGAATGAATGCACTTTTCTTTCTTCCAAATGCTATAGAACTTACGTTAGTTCTAAGCCGTTTTTGCGTGAACGCCTTGTGGCGCATTCGATAGGAATCTCAGCGCATTTGCTGGAAAGACCATTGGGAGGAAACATCTGCACATGACACAATCGTTCGCTCATTTGACGCTACCTGAGGGAACAACCTTGGTGAGGAAACTTTTTCCCCCTATATTAGCGTCATGCAATTTCTATGTGAAGTATGGCAGTTCTTTTGATGCAACATGGCAAGCTCCTGAAGACATGCGTGACAAATTCTCATTTGCAACATGGCAATTCTTGGAAAACAAAATTGAAACAATGAGCCTCCTCGTTGATTTCCATTGGAGGAACCGCAACAATTTTTTTCAAGCACAAAAGAAAGATGTCCGGTGTTCTAGGAACGACAGGGACTAAGCCCAGCAAACTTTACACCAAAACGAAAGAAGAAAGACATGATCACACAAAATCAGCACAAGGGGGCGCCAAAATGTCCCAACAGACAAAAAACATAAGATGTCATCCTACTCCAATTCTTCTACTCATAGGATTCCATCTATGGCTTTTGGCATAGATTTGTTCAAGCACCTTCTTGATTAGAGCCACCTCTTGCTTAATTATTTCTCTGTCTTGGCTTTTCTGCAAGATACTCCAAGCATTTAGATAATAGTACACGTTATATACCACAATAGTGGGATCATCGGGAAATTCTCTTTCAAAACATGCATGGTTCCTAGTCTTCCAAATGGTCCAGCAAATGGTGACCCCTCCACACCACACAAGCTTTCTTTGATCTTTGGGAAAAGTTTTGACCCAATGTCCCACCATATCATTGAGCTTAGCTGGGCCTTTTGGAATATCAAAAGGACAAATCACCACTTGCCAGACCAATTTGACTAGAGCACATTAAAAAAATAACCGCTCAATACTTTCTTTAGAGCCAAAGAAACGCCATTGCTCATTTCCTGTCCAACCCCTCTTCAAGGGGTTATCTTTGATTATAATGCTATTTCTAAGCATTAGCGAAAGAAACACCTTGATCTTATGTGGATTTTTTTAATTTCCAGATAGATCTGTATCCAACCAGTCTGCCAGCTTACATATGTAAGTATAGCTGCCTGACAACAAACTTGTTCTTGCAATACAAAGGACAAACCATTTTATCTTGACAATTACTCATAACCTTCTCATTTACCGAACTTTCCAAACCTTCCCACTGAACGGCAGTATCATCATGCAACATTCTCCTAAATTTCAAAGCATCAAAACTATTATTCTTCACAAAATGGACAGTAGCCAATTTAGTAAAGGTCAGATTACAAAGCCTGGGAAAATTCGGCTAAGAATTTGTCCCCAAGCCATCTATCTTCCCATAAAAGGGTTTTAGCTCTTTGTCAACACCTCTTGCCACAAACCATTAGTGTTCCCTAGTTTCCAAAGTCATTTGATCAATAAACACTGATTCTTGGCATCTAGATCCAAAACACCAAGACCACCACAACTCTTGGGCATGCAAACAGTAGATTAATTTATGAGGTGATATTTTTCTTATCACCGGCTTCGTGCCAAACCATCCTAGCCCTACTGGTATCCAAGCTTTTGAGCACTCCTCTAGGTTCTTCCGAGAAGGAAATAATAAACAAAGGAATCCCGCTCAAGCAGGAATTCACAAAAATCACTATGTTACCAACTGACAGGAGATCACCTTTCCAGCCAACCATTTTTTGCACACTTTCTTATCCACTAGATCCCATTGTGCATTACTAAGATTTTTTGCATCCACGGGCATCCTAAGGTATTTCATAAATAGCTTCTAAGCTTTGCAAGTAAAAATTTCACACTAATTAGCTTCTCTCTCAAAAGCCTCCCCAAGCCAAAAAGATTTACTCTTGTGAAAATTGATCTTCAAACCAACAACTTGTTCAGAAGCATGAACAATAAACCTGAGATTTCTGGCATTTACAAGATTAAACTCCAACAAGAAGATTGTATCATTGGCATACTGAAGCAGAGGCAATCCCCCATCTACCAAATTAGGCAGAAGACCAGAAAGCAAACCCTGCTATTGGGCCTTCTTTATCATCAATGCTATCCCATCAACAATTATATTGAAAAGATAGGGGGATAGAGGATCCTCCTATCTAACTCCTTTGAAAGTTGGGAAGTAAGGGCCAATATGATCATTCACCTTGACTGCAACCCTTCCTCCCCTAACCAGCTTCATAATCTAGGCACACCACAAATAACCAAACCATTTTTCCTCCATCATCTGACACCATAATGGCCATTTCACCTTTTCATAAGCCTTCTAAAAATCAATCTTCAAAAGAACCCCAAACTTATTCTTAGATTGAATTTCATGAAAAGTCTCATGCAAGAGGACCACCCTTTCCATGATAAATCTATCCTTTATAAAAGCAGTTTGAGTATTAGCAATCAGACCATCAATAATAAGTCCTAGCTCTACTAATATATTGGTCAATATTTTATAACTCACATTAAGCAGGCAGATAGGTCTAAATCTAAATAACATCAGCATCCCGCACCTTCATAATGAGAGAAATCACTCCATCATTCAATCTCTCTACATCCAACTCACCTTAATGAAAAGCATCAAAATATTCTTTTAACTCATATTTTATATCTTTCGAGAATTTCTGATAGAATTAAATGGGAAAACCATCAATCCCATCAACTTTATTGTGTTTCATGCCAAACACGGCCCCCTTAATCTACAAACTAAATTCCCTAGTAAGTAAACCTCTATCCTCACCAGATAACTGATTGCATTCCAGGCCATCAGACCCGGTAGAAGTTACATCGGGAGGTCCAAACAACTCTTTATAGAAATCAGCAATATGTTTGACCAAGTATTGATCTCCTTTAATTTCCAATTCATCGTTCAATAGTACAACGATACAAATTTTATTTTTCCTACCACTTGTCGTGAGGGAGTGTAACACCCCGGATGTAACTTGCCATATTTGTAACTCTGACTCTTGCCTTTCTCGGCTTTAAGTTATGAGATTCCCTTCGTGGTTGGGTTTTTGTCTTTGTTTTGCATTTTGTTCATCTCATGCATTTCATATCATGTCATCATGTGCATCGCATTTGCATACGTGTTCGTCTCATGCTTCCGAGCATTTTCCCCGTTGTCCGTTTTGCAATCCGATACTCCTATGTGCACTGGCGCACCCCTCTTGTCTGTTTTCATGAGCGGGTGTTAAATGTTCTCGGAATGGGCCGAGATTTGTCAAGTGGCCTTGGTACACCACCGGTAGACCGCCTGTCAAATTTCGTTCCATTTGGGGTCCGTTTGATACTCCAACGGTTAATCGGGTAACCGCGAAGGTCTCTTGTGTGTTGCAGCCCAACACCCCTCCAAAACGGCCCAATAACCCATCTAAACCACTTCCATGTCCTCCGTCGCCGGATCATGATCGTGTGGGCGAAAACTACACTCCATTTGGACACTCCTACCTCCTCCTAGCTATAAATATGTGCACCCCCGTCCAAAATTCGGGTCCCGAAACCCTAGCTAGTCTCCCCGCCGCCACGGACATGTCCGCGCGGCGCCGGACGAGATCCCACCGCCGCCTGCCACGTCAGCGCCCACCGCTCCGCGCCTCCAGGCGGCCCGCGAGCGCCCGAGAGCGCCAAGCGCCGCCGCCGTCCTCTTCGCCTTCGGCCGCCGTCCGTCCACCGCCCGCCACCTCCCACGCCGTCCGACCACCGCCCCGCCGCCTCGGCTTCCGCGTTGTCCCCACGCCGCCTCCTCTGGCCGGATCCGAGTGCCCCCTCGCCGGATCTGCCTCCCCGCGTTCTCCGGCAAGATCCCGACGAGCTCCGGCCACCGCGGCGACGAACCCCGGTGAACCTCGTTTTCCGTGCCACGGTCAACCCTAGATCTCTGAGGGTATATTTCGCCTAAGTCTTTTTTCCCTGTTACTTTTTATGCCCCTGTTCATCGCCTTATATCTCCACGACCGTAGCTCCGTTTCATGCATATGATATATCAAAATGTTCATTGTGAGATGCTCTTCATTTCATTCCGTTGAGGCATGCTTGTTTGTGTTCATCTTGATGCCCTAATCATTGATGCAAGAGTGCTATAAAATGTTTCTTGCTGTTACTTATCAATTTATGGTGATTTGTCATTTTGTCACATTTGATGTGTGCTTCATATAGGCATGAGCTCTACATGTATTTTGAATTATGTCATGCCATCTTTACAGGGGTGCTTGTCTTGTGTTTTTTGATCTTTGTGGTGACTAGCACAAGCATGCAAATTAGGCTTCATGATATTGCTGTTTTCAGGGACTTAGGATTTGGATTTTGCTAAGTCCTTTTCCTGCTGTTATTTTGATGCCATGTAAACATGATGCTACAGTGATATCCATGCTTGTTTTGAGATACTTTAGTAAGGATGTTTTGAACATATGGTTATGCTCTATCCATCCATGCCCCTGTTTGCAATTATGAAGTGCCCTAGCATGTCTTGTTCTTGCTCTACTTTTGCTATAAAATGTTCCTGGCAGAATGTTTACATGTTAATCAATTTTGCCATGGTTGTTGCTAATGATCCATGCATGCTATGAAC